TGGGTGCTAGAGACTAGCTCCCACCGGTGTCCGGGGGCGGGGAGAGGCGGGCCGGGGCTCTTTCTAAGGCGACATAAAGTCACAGTTGCTATTTTGATTAGAAGGTTAACAGGGAGAAACAAAAATGAAGGCTAAAAGGCCCCTTCTCTAATCAGAACAGAATCCAGTGGCATTCTTTCAGACAGAAAGGGAAGAACTATTTTAAATGATAAAGTTTCAAAAGCCTGCCAGAGAGTTAGCTTGTTGCTAATAAAATCAATACCAAGCACAGGAAAATAGCTTTCTCTAGAATTTAAGTCAAACACACTAATTAGCACTTCTGGAAAAACAAGAAACCACCCATGTGCTTTTTGGAGGAAAACAGTAATTTCTCCCACACGGAGAAGCCCCACTGCTGCCACGCCGGCCACGTCCACTGCAGCTCCCTCGAGCTCTCGGAACCGCTCGGAACTTGGGCTACTTATCTTTGTGGGTCTGCAGGAGGGCACGCGCACTCGCTAGAGACCGCACGGGCGTGGCCACCCGTCACCCCTTCTCTACTCTCCGGGGGTCGGGCACGCGCGTGCCCACTGGCAAGACTGGCACGCTGCCAGGTCTGGGCTGGGACCACGCTCAGCCACGGGGAGCCCATCGCCGTAACCACCTCACCGCGCTGGCCCTCGCGCAGACTCGAAGAACACTTGCCATCCCGAGTGCGTCAGGGAAACATCATTTGGTTGGAGCTGCTGTTTTCAACAGGTTGGTTTTTAATTTCAGTCATTTCTATGGTGACTAATACCACTGAATCAACACGTTCCACAGTGCTTTTAAATAAACAAACTCTTACTCATCTCCTTCTAAGAACAAAAATTGCCCCGTTTCTCTGTAGACTGCGCGCTCCCCCGGAGAAGATGGAAGACGCGGCCCGCCTCCCGGCAGCCCCGGGGAGACGCTGGCCCAGGTCCCCGTCCGGGAGCCGGTGTTGCTCCCGTTCTGGTCAAGCGTGTTATCTTTGCCACTGTGGATTGAAATCTTGATAAAATAGATTATATGCCCCTTGTTTCACTTTAAAAATCTGCAGGCCACGACAGGTCCTCTATGGATTCGGTCACCAAGGCCAGCCTCGATCGGGCCACCCGGGTGTCGGGAGGGCTGCGCCGACAGAGGAATACTGAAGCGGCTCTGACGTTCCCTGCCGGGCTCCCCTCTGCTCTTCTGCAGGGCACCTCACATTACCAAGGGCCCCGCCCACGAGGAGCTTCCCGCACCACCTCCTCCCAGCTGCACGGCTCCTCTACCACTGACCACTGACGGGCAGCCCGGGTGCCGGACGTGACCAGGAGCAAACAACGCCCACACGGGTCTTACCACATCTGTCTTCATTGAGTGCCACAAGGCTACCTTGAAGCCTCCGCTACATCGTGGCTAGCTGAGGGTGTCAGACAAGTCACCCCAACACAACGACCGTCCTGGCTCTTTCTGGGCAGAGACCTCGTTAACGCTGAGTTAGGAAAGGCAGTGTCCGTGTAAACTCTGGAAACCATAAAACAAGGTAAGTGTAGCCTGAGAATGTAACCGAAGGGAGGAGGACCCACAGAAAACTCCTAACCGCATCAACACCCTCCAGGTAGACACAAACAGGGCCCGACGCCTCCCGTTCCAAAGGTGACCGCGTGGCCAGCTGAGGCCGTCAGGGACAAGGAGGCGGAGATGGTACAGTGCGCAGCTCTCCACCCCGCGGAGCGTCTCCTACACCCCTACTTTTAGCTTACCACCTCCGAATTTATTACAAACGTTCGAAACCTAAGGAGCTCCTTAGATTTGCCTACTGGTAAGTTTCACTTTAACCAGGAAACAGAGCCTCAGAGGACCCGGCTGCTGCCACGCCTGCCACATCCACGCACTCAGAGCAGAGCCTCAGAGGACCACGTCCATGTGCTCAGACAGAGCCTCAGAGGACCCGGCTGCTGCCACGCCTGCCACATCCACGCACTCAGAGCAGAGCCTCAGAGGACCACGTCCATGTGCTCAGGACAGAGCCTCAGAGGACCACGTCCATGCGCTCAGACAGAGCCTCAGAGGACCACGTCCATGCGCTCAGACAGAGCCTCAGAGGACCACGTCCATGCGCTCAGACAGAGCCTCAGAGGACCACGTCTAGCGCTCAGAGCAGGGCCTCAGAGGACCACGTCCACGCACTCAGAGCAGAGCCTCAGAGGACCCGGCTGCTGCCACGCCTGCCACATCCATGCGCTCAGAGCAGAGCCTCAGAGCCACTTCAAGGCCAGATCAACTCACTGCTCACCCAAGAAGCTGTCCCCGACGTCCCTGCCGCCACCCTCCTCCTCCCCTGGCATTTAAGGAGCGTACCACCCATGTCCCACTGCCCTCTGTTAATCAACGTGCTCGACCAGACGGAGACAGCCTGCAAGCTCCCCGAGGGCAGGCTGCCCGTGTCCGACGAGGAGGTCACCCACAGGCCCCGCGGTGCTGCAGTCCTGCATGCTCGATAAAACCCTGTGGGTGACTCTCGAATGCTCTTGGAGCAGCAGGGACACTAACACCTCCCACATAGCCCTGGCCGCGGGCTGTGACAGCTGTTATTTGTGGGTTCGTGTGGTACAGTGGCAGGTCAGTCCTGACGGCACCCCCACAGACCAGACCGTGCCGGCCCAGGGCAGCTGTCTGCTCTCCAGAAAGAGCCCTGTTCTTGGAGCCCTGAGTGTAGACCTGAGGGAGGGCAGTTATTCGTTCTCAGCCTTCAAGGCCAGCTCCCGGGTCGGGCTGGCTGTGCTCCCACCTGTCACTTCCACTGGAGGGGCACAGCAGACCGGACACCCTCTCCACTCTCCTCTCCGCTTTCCTCTCTGCTCTCTCCTCCCCTCTGCTCTCTCCCAAAGAGCCCTGTTCTTGGAGCCCTGAGTGTAGACCTGAGGGAGGGCAGTTATTCGTTCTCAGCCTTCAAGGCCAGCTCCCGGGTCGGGCTGGCTGTGCTCCCACCTGTCACTTCCACTGGAGGGGCACAGCAGACCGGACACCCTCTCCACTCTCCTCTCCGCTTTCCTCTCTGCTCTCTCCTCCCCTCTGCTCTCTCCCCCTCCTCTCCCTCCCCCTCCCTGCTCCCCCTCCCTC